ATTAATATCCTTCATAATATTATTTACAATGTTTTATAAATAATCGTTGAGCAAGAGTTGGTCAATATCCGGCATTATATTGAATGCAAAATAATTTATTATCTACCAAAGACCCTGACATTTTTTTAAATATCTTTTTATCGTGTCTGTGATTTTCATTCAACAACTTGTAAGTTTGAAGGGCAAGCTTTAGTTTACAAAACTAAACGGTGTTTGTCACTACATAGTATAAAACAAAGTCGCTATCCGCCGTCTGTCTGTCCCTATATATGCTTAGATCTTTAAAACTACGCAACAGATTTTGATGCGGTTTTTTTAATAGATAGAGTGATTTTTAAGGAAGGTATATGTATAATACATACATATTGCGTGCAAAGCCGGGGCGGGTCGCTAGTCACCAATGAAACTAGTAGGTATAGTATGTAAATAATATTATAGTATTTTTCACAATATACGCTGTAATCTTAACGATATTTAGGAATAATGACAGGAAAATAAAATGAATAGTTTTTTAAACATGGAATGGAATGGAAGAAGATGACCAAGGAAGAGATGTTAAGAATGATATGAAAGAGGAAGGAGGTGTAGATAGGATAACGTTTGATAGAGAAGAACTGAAGAAGGAGGCGTGTTACGAGGGCCCTAGGCCCCAAACAACTTGAGATTAGGGCAAGAAGATGATGAAAATAATGAATTGCAATAACGAATAATGGAAGAAGTTAATGAACAACCGGGATTTTATCAGAAATTTAATATAATCAATGTGAAACATAAACATCAACCCAAAGGTCGAAATAAAATCAGACTGTCTTATTACAGATTGTTTACTATTATTCTATAAAACTGTTTAGAGGTACAAACCAGTTTTGATGTGGTTTACTGGTTCCGATAAGTTACATAATCGACAAGTTCTCACATATGTATGTATCGTGAAGGAGAAGAATTAAAGTTAAGGCATTATTATACTTTTTTATTTGAAATGGGAATATGTGTAAATAAATGACGTTCATTGTTCAAAATCTATCGATAAGATGTCTGTTGTATCCATCGTGGTATCCATAATGGCAAAATCAAATATTATTCTATTCTATAGACATTTTTTTATGTAATAGGAGGCAAACGAGCAGACGTATCACCTGATGGTAAGCAATCAGTTCCGCCCATGTACACCCCAAGGAGACACAGTTGCGTAGCCGGACTTTTAAAAAGGAATACGTTCTTTTCAGTTAGGAACTACATATATTGGGACATAGAAAATATTTGAATAGGAATTCGAAAGGATATTTAGAAAAATTGATGTAGAAAATAGAATGAGATTAATTTACATACATCATAGCATTTGTATTAGGCACTTTGATTGTTTAAAGTTATTTATTAATTTGTGTCAAATTATTTAGATTGTGGTACAAGATTAAAGTTTTAATAATTTTTTGAGTTTTTTAGTAACAATCTAAACACCAAAAATTGTCTTACAATTTATTTTGCAAAATTTTTTGAAGCATTACGTAATTACTGTATTAAATAACGCTATATATTTATATGAGTGTTTTATATACATAATGCATGTTTAATGTATAAAATATTTTCCGCATTGATTATTTATCGGCTATCTAGATAGACTGTTTTAAAACTAGACTTGAATGCTTACGTCATTCACTCTCACTTTGAAATGGACTTTTTTACAACCTTTTTTATTTTGATAGACTATTGAATAACTATTTTAACTAGACATCTTAGTTGGTTGATGATTGGGAAGTTCCGGTAAGGTTAAATCAAAGAGAAACATTGTAATAATGAAGATATTACTTAAGTACGATTGCAGGCCCTATATTCAGTATCTTGTTGTTGATGTGATGATAACAAATTGAAAGAAGTAGGTAAGTTAAACAGCTTTAATGAATTTGGCATATATTATGAGATAAGTCGGTAGACGAGCAGACGGATCACCTGATCGTAAGCAGTCGGCGTCGCCCATGGACACCTAAACACCAGAGGCGTTACAAGTGCGTTGCCGGCCTTTTGGGGATTAGGAGTTTGAGGATCGTTAGGGGAGGGTAATTGCGCCTCCGGTAACCTCACTTTTTTACATAAATAAATATTGTACGTAGAGCACGTATGAAGTTAAGGAATAGTGTTGTAGACCAAACTTACTTATGAACTGCAGCCAAGAAAAAGTATTAAGTACACATAAGTAAACATAATGTTGGTTTAAGATAGGACATCAAAACTGGAATGAAGGTCTGTACTGTTATTTCTAATTTTGTACTAAAGGGTAAGATTACTACTACCCAATATCAATGTGACTTTTTCCGAGTTATATGTACTTTCTAAGATTATTTAGACACCACTGACAAACGGTGAAACCTGGGCTTATAATTTCTAATTCTAAGTTTGAAATCGTCAACCCACATTGAGCGAGCGTGGCGATTAATGCTCTAACCTTCTCCGTATGTGAAGAGGCTTTGCTCAGCAGTGGCTGTTGTGATGATGATGATTACTACAACCCATAATAATATATAGAATTTTAAAATACAACATAACATAATAACATAACATCGCCTTTTATCCCCGCAGGGGTAGACAGAGGTGCACACAGAAGTAACACCCACTTTTCACTATTTATGTTATGAGTCCCATGTAATAGGGGGTGAGCCTATTGCCATATACCGGGCACAATTCCAGACTCCGTGCTACTACCAAGTTTTTTTTAATAAAACCAGTAATACTTTGCCCGACCTGGGAATCGCCCGGCAGTCGCACTTGCGACCACTCGGCCAACGAGGCAGTCTCTTTAAATTGTAATTTCAAAATACAAATTATTCAAAATCATATTCAGTAGTACCTCTAGTATTTGCAATCGAAGGCTACAATCAAATGTGTGAATTAACTAAACGTATCTAAAAACAGTGGGAGTGCGCCTCAATGAGCATCCACAATTTGCAACATTGCCATTACTTGCAAAACAAATTCTATGCGTTTAACGTCTTCGTGATAAGTGCTTGTGACATACATACATACATGCCTATATATCATATTACATATCAACAGCCTGTGACAGATCTCTATTGGGCTGTCCACTACCGGAGTGACCACTACTATAGGTTCTAGTAGAAATCACTATACTTAAGTGATAAGACCGCCTTTGTGCCCATTGTCACTTTTATTTATGTTGTTATATCGTTTTTCTGTATTTACTATATACAGGGTATAAATGGATCGCTTTCAAAACGCAAAGAATTTTTTTTTTACAATATAAATCGTCTTTGTTTTCGTGTTATTCGTGCTATATCAGCCTAGAGCAGTTGATTACAATTATTATTAGGTACTTATAAGAAACATTTAATTCCTTACTTTTATATTTTTTATATTATTACCTTAACACATAACATAACATCACGCCTTTTATCTCCGAAGGGGTAGGCATAGGTGTAATGTGCATAATGTACATTATTACAATGTAACACCCACTTTTCACTATTAATGTTATGAGTCTCATGTAATAGGGGGTAAGCCTATTGCCATATACCGGGCACAATTCCAGACTCCGTGCTACTACTGAGAATTTTATGAAAAACCCATATTACCTTACTATTAAAATAAAACTTAGGCGTTTTTCGGGAGGGTTCCGTTTACCCTGTATTATAAATGGTGTACAATAAAGATTATTCTATTCTATTCTACCGGATTATGGACCTCCTCTACATAAGATGAGTTTGCCACGAACTCCACGCTTAGCAGGCGTGTTAGGCGCAGTTTAAAAGGTTCAGGTATATCAAAGAACGAAACCCAGTCTCAGTTAAATGTCAACTTGCTAAGTCCCTTATGGTCGAATTATATATTTTATTACAATATATGTGGATCGATTTTTGACATTTATCACAAACGAAGCTGATTGAGATATGTTATAATGTCTGTGGGCAGAGAAAGGATAGTGAAAAAAGTAATGAAATTGTAATTGAGAAATGTATGAACCAACAAAACTATATACCTAGAGACAATTGTATTGTGAACCTGATTGAAAAGGAGTAACCTATGGAGTTTCTTGCTCGTTCTTCTCCATAGGATTGTACACCTTGGAATAAGCAAATAGTTTCACTTTTAAATTTTTTGTTGACGTACAAAAGTGCCTTGCTAATTGAAATAAAAAATTTTGACTTGGACTTGTATTCTATTTTACCATCAGTAGTGGTAGTAAGTAAACCTTTGTTATAGGTAAGTTTGTATAGATTCTTGCATGTATTTATGCGGGTGATAAGGAATTTTATTGGCTTATATTGTTTCTTGTATATGTGTTTCTATGGCGTCCGACTCAAGGTCGGTTGTTGCTCTTAAGTCTACCTCATAAAAGTCAACTATTCGGCGTTTCTCGTGAGAATTACTTGCATACGATTGACTCTGACTCAATCATTACGACTTTCAATTTTGTATTTAGGTCTGAACTCAATTTTGTTACTTAAGATTTTTGGTAAAATTATTTTTTATATGTTCTCATTTTTTTGCTGGTGTTACAAAATCTCAACGTAACGGATAACAACTGTTGCAAGAATGTGCACAGAGATACAACAGATACTAACCTGAGTTAACCTTGTAAGGACGTCTAACTTAACAATTCTAACATAACTGTAAAGCCTTGAGCAACAGAAACAGTTTCCAAAACACAATAACAAAACTCTAATTCATTAAAACTGAAAAAAATAACAAAAAAAAAATACTCGGCACAGGTCAATAGTTTACACATCCAAACCTATTCCGTACAGCCAGAAACGTCATGTAAACGTCAAAAACAGTATACACGCGAGATAGAAGAAGCAACTAAAACCATTTTCCACGAGAACAGTCCATTGGGTCTCACAGCACAATACACACGGTTAACGGAAACATCACAACGCAACGGTACATTAATAAAAAAAAGTTTGTGAGAAAAAAATAATAAAAAAAGTAAACGAACGAATCTTGTTTCTTTTTTTCTCATTCGATATTTGAATTAGATTCACAGACACCTGTCGGGTAGGTCATTTACAGTGTCGTTGCGGGCGCGCGGCTCACGCGGGGCACGGGCGAGAACTGTCCGCAATTGTTTACTGTAGGTTCGCCGTCGACTCTACAAAGAGCCTTTCTGTTTAAGCGTTTCGTTTGTAGATAACTTACTGGCGCCTCTGTGAGGACATTAATATCATATGAAACTTAAGTTTCGATTTAAGCTTACAATATCCAACATATTCATTTCAATAATTTTAAAATACATAGTTGAATAACCAAAATGTCTTTAATTTTTTTTTATTAAATACAATCGTAATTAATATATGTAATTGTTTTGTGTACTATAGTAAAAAAATAAAAACACGAATTAATGAAATCAATTCATTCACACATAATGATAACTTCATTATGTGTGAATGAATTATTATTAATCGTCCCTGCGGGACTTTACCCGAACTACAATTAGATTGAACTTCATACAATATTAAATGTTATTCTTTCTGTGATAAAATTCCTTTTAAATATTCTAACAGTTTATTTCGAATTATGATAAATATGTATGGGAGAACGATTACAGTTTATTATTTAACTAATCAATACACTAACGAGAGAGACTTTCAAGCTTTAAAAAGAAAGAATGGGCCAAGAGTACTTCCTTGTGGAACTCCTAAATTTAGATACTGATAATTTAAATTTTTTTACAGTTGATTTCATTTTATTGATCAATATTTTTTTTAATCATATACCAATTTCGTTAATTTGTCAATTGTATTATTATTTCTGTAACAACATGACATTTTTAATAAAAGAAAGTGGTATAACTTATCACAAGCTTTAGTTTATACATAAAAGTATTAAAGATCATTTAATCTCTTCGTTAACGTTAAATCTTTTGACGTTTTTTCCAATATATTAAAGTGAATTAATTAAAGTAAGAACTTAAATTGAATACGCCGCGGTGCAAAATTAATTCATTTGTAATTTGTAATATCATAATCGCAAATTTGCAATTATTCACAAATTGTCGCTCCAACTCTGATCAATCTGCATAAATATGGATTTAGATGTATTTTAAGTGAATCTACGACATGAGAGAAATTTTTAAAAAGCGGTCGTATTGAGAACCTCCTCCTTTTTTTGAAGTCGGTTAAATTCGGTCAACGCATGCTTATGTGACACACGCTTTCATATAAAGAAATCAAAAGAGCCAGTGTGTTTCTAAACTGGCTTTCTTCTTTTTTTTGGGTTTAATATTTGAAGTTTACCTATTTTACCATCTGTTACCCAACACTCTATGGCCAAATGGTAGACACGGCAGTGTGGCTAGTCGGCACATCGGGCATTCCGACCGACATCGCCCGCCGGCGAAAGTAAACTTTACCAATCTTACGCGAGCCTCTTCACACACAACCCACAACACATTCTAAACTCCCTCCCTTCCAAATAAAGTCGAATTTCCTATAACAACAAACTAGCTTCTCCATCAACACGTGATAAGGTGATATGAACTTTGTTTTATAGGATTAAGGTAGGTTTTTGTATAGTTTCTGAAGCAGGTATTGTAAAATGATGGTCAAAGTATGGTGGACGGTGAAATAATGCCCCGTAAGGCCCAGGGATTCGTTTCTTATTGTGTTTAATTGTATGTTAATAGTGTGGTGCGATGCCCTTACAGTAAAACTTTCTGATTAAGAAATGTATTACTGGTCTTGTAAAGTTTATTCCTCTTCTTCTATACTTGGCTTCAGTAATATTGAATTTTCAGTAATTATACAAATTAGATATGACTAAAATTTTACTAAACAATCCAACCCAGTACTGCATAAGCAGTTTTAATTTGTAGGTACAAAAAATTGTTGTTATTTTTAAAATCTTTATATTAAGTATAATATAGGGATCATCTTAGAAACCATAATGAACTCCGTAATGGATAAATAACTGTATTGCAGTTTATATTGTTAAATAATTCCAGAAAACCGGTCGCAAGTTTCCCTATATAAAAGACATCAACGAGTGGGGAAATACATTTCTGTAAATATGACACAATTTGAAGTCTATTGTGGTTTCCAATAACTTTGGTAAGTACCGAAAGACAAAAGTATTCACTATTCATTACCGGATCCTAAATAATTTGTAGATCACATAAATATTATTTAAATCAAACTTGTAACTTTATCAGGCAGCCATCTCCTTATTCTTAAGCTCAAATGTTCTTAAGCTCAATCTCGTATTTTCCACATGTATCGAGCTTATCCCGGAGACCAAGGCCGACTCCAGAATTCCCGGGAATAAACCCTTCCTACCTACACACCTAAAATAACGAGATATATTATTATGTTTTCGGTTTACTCACGTAATTATTTGACGAGGAACTCGACTAGTTTCAAGCCACACTAGAGGCCCATATTCATGAGTATTTTGCGACCCGCGACGCGGCGACTGTCGCGCTGCTACTGCTAGCTATGAAACTAGTCGAGTTCCTTGTCAAGTAATTACGCTAAGAAGCCGAAAACATAATAATATATTTAGAATTTTGAATAGTCAGTCAGTCATCCTTAAACACTGACTTTAGCCTCTATCGTCTCTGCTAATACAGCTTAAGGACGTATTTTTATTAAACTTTATTCAAGTTAGATTAATTAAAACGCCTATGCTATATATCACTCACTATCATAAAATTTAATGATCATATTTCTTTAACAGTCTTACATCTCCAGTATCTACAAGAACCAGTGTGTCTACTTCATTCCTTGCATTCCTGGCTGGAAAATTGCAACAAACATTCTAACCGCATTTCCTCACTCCAAGCTACATGGCGATCATCTGCGATTACAGTTCAATTACCTTTTAATTAAATTAATACGTTCTAATTAGTGCAGGATTCTTTGATTATCTCGGTGTTTCTTGCTGAATATTTGTCGACTGTTTGTTCAATCTGTTTTTTAATGTAAATGATATAAAGTATGAAAATCAATACACTAATCTTTGTTTATCTCATTTCCATACTTCAGGATATAATAAATTTCGTGCTATTTTTAAAGTTGTCCCGCAAATCATTTCGCAAGTCACTCTATAAAAACCATAAATAAATCTGAAGGTGACAAAACCAAAAATGTCAAAATGTTCACCTTTTTTTATGGTATAAGCCGGTAAACGAGCAGACGGATCCCCTGATGGTAAGCAATCGGCGTCGCCCACGGACACCTGGAACACCAGAGGCGTTACAAGTGCGTTACCGGCTTTTTGGGGAGATTGGGGAAGGGGAGAGTAATTGGGCCTCCGGTAACCTCACTCACACGACGAAACACAACGCAAGCGTTGCTTCACGTCGGTTTTCTGTGAGGCCGTGTATCACTCCGGTCGAGCCGGCCAATTCGTGCCAAAGCATGGCTCTCTCACACTTAGTATTACCTATCGTAATTCTTCTTACATCTGAGTGTCAAGCACGAATAACTATCGCAATCGTAATGTTATAGTATCGAGCACATTCGGCTGTCTAATTGGTTGCTTCATAGCAGTCGGCCAATCAGAGGCCTTAGAGTTTGTTTTACGTTTAAAGTAATCGAAACGAGTACGCGTTCGGCACTCTGATTGGCCGGCACAATGAACTAACCAATCAGAACGCTTAACTCGCACGATACTGTTACGATACCAATGCGATAGTTATTCGTGCTTGGCCCTCAGAGCACCAAACGTGCTCGATATTATAACGTTACGATTGCGATAGTTATTCGTGCTTGATGACACTCTGTCATCATTTAATGTCGCTAGTATCGAACTGACTTATGACCAGAATGTGAAACTTCGATCACATCAAAAATTCAGAAGTGATTTTGCAAAAAGAAATTATCATGATGGATAACAAAAGAAGACGGCAAAACGTTGTAGTTGAGGATCCACGTAATACGGTTTGGTCTATTTCCAAAGACAGGGAACAATTCCATATGATTTAAACCGATTTTAAACAAGGGGTTCTCAATTTGACCTCTATACATATATGTATGTATGTATGTATGTGTGCGATTATCTCGCGATCGGCAAAACCGATTTTATTGCGATTTTAATAAACTGTTTGATACACTTAGGAAAATATTTTAGTATATTAATTAACCACATAAAAGAGGGGGTTAAAGTCGGTTTTTTTGAACGTACTTTATACAACTGCTGACGTAAAACTGAAGGTGAACTGCAAACGTAGTTTAGGCGACTGCGTCGTTAGTCCAGTGGTCGCAAATGTGACTGCCCGGAAGGGGTCTTGGGTTCGATTCCCGGGTCGGGCAAAATATTACTTGTTTTTTTTTAATTCTCAGTTTTAGCATAGACTTTAGAAATGTGCCCAGTATATGGCATATACAGTGGTAGTGGTGGCCCACCCTCTATTACATGGGACTCATAACATAAATAGTGAAAAGTGGGTGTAACATTGTACAGTGGCATAAAGTGCCTTAATGTGCGCCTCTGCCTACCCCTTCGGGGATAAAAGATGTTATGTTATGTAATTTATTCAAGAGTTATTGATTTTTATATGGGTACCTATAGTTCATACAGTTCACGACAGTACTGTTTAAAAAATATAGCTACAAGTATAGATCTAATGTATTGCTATCAACTTTTCGTCAGGAACCTGAACACGCCAAGTGCATCTGCATTTATAATGTGGTTCAATAGATGTCGCTAGGAGTATGACAACAAAAATATCATTATTTGCTTTATCTATTCTAGAATTACAGGCTAAATTAAGTGACCTAGTTTTCTTTAGTAGTTCATTGTCATCCACTTATCAGGACATTGTGCTACTACCTTTTTTCCGTTTTTTAAAGACAATTAATTTAAACAAAGGTGAAATTTAAATGCTGACTCTGTTGTTTCATAAATAGGATAGATTAAGTTTATGATTCTGGGAATAATGCTCGTTCCACTTCGTTGGCCGAGTTCTACGTTGCCCCACACTAGGATTTTCCCTATGTTGTGGGTGCGTTTGCAAAAATACAAGTTCACATACACATTACACTCAGACCCGGACAAACAATCTGTGGATCACACAAAGACTTGTTCCGTGCGGGAATACATCCCGCGACACGAAGCACGGCAGCCAGTTGGCCAGCCACAAACCGTGCAGTCAGAATAATTTAGGTAATATGCACGAAAAGATGTATGTTTAATGTGATTACACCAAACATACAGTTAAATTGAGACCTTTGAAAAAACTAACTTATTAGGGATTAGATTGGGGTCAAAATGGGACAAATCTGTCTAATATAAATAAATACACAAAAGCAATTTCCTATTAAATAGTAATGAGAATTTATTTAAATAATAATAATAGACCTAAATTATCACATTAAATAATATTCCTTAAAATCTAAACGTTGATACAACGCATAATTATGTAGCCTAATAAATTAAATAACTAGTTGTTAACATAACTAAACAGAAGTATCCACGATTATCTTCTTTAGTGAAAGACTGTAAAAACATATTTAGTATCATATCGGAAAACATATTTATTTCTGCCAGAGAGATTGTAAAACATAATATGTTTTTAAAAGAGTAACGAATGGAACGAGCGCCTAGCTTTATTGACTGACAGACTATTATTTATTTTGTATTTGTTGACGTTTCAAAAGTACTAAATTATGGTTTAATTGAAATGACTTTGACTTTGAGTTTTTAAATTCGAAGAACATTAATATAATATGTATAGATAAAAATGGATTTTCGTTCGTTAGTCTCGCTAAAACTCGAGAACGGCTGAACCGATTTGGCTAATTTTGGTCTTGAAATGTTCGTGGAAGTCCAGGAAAGTTTTAAAGGGGGTTGGGGGGAGGTTAGAAGATTACAACTTTAAATGCTCTTTAAGTAACAGTGCACCATGGTCAGCTCTTCTGGTGGTGCTCATGATATGTAGAGCGATTCAGAAGTCTGATAGCTTCATCAGAGTTTTTACATTTCATGGCCAAGAGATGGCGCTAGTGAGACGTAAGCCCCGTCCCAAAGAAGACAATCGTGTATACTTCTTGTGTCTAGTTAAGTAAAACTGTTATTTAACGCTGTGGCTGCATCGACTGGCTGGTGATAGCGATCTCGAACTGAGGCAACGAGTTGTGGTTCTTCTTCTTCTGAATCACATCTGTGCCCCAAGCCCACTGGAAAGAAGAGAAAAATATTGTTAGCACGTTCTTTTATGAAGGACGATGACATTTTGATACATTTAGCAAAAGTCTCTTCGTGTGCAATAATTATATTTATGAGTTTTGTTATTGTATAGGTATCGTTTAATTTTTTGGTATCTGTAATTTTTTAGTTTTGTATTGTATTTTTATTTGTGTATTACACACAGTTGCCTGAAATAAAGAAATAAATAAAAAAAGGGATTGTAATTTGTATGGTTACGATTGTTTTTTTTTTCAATCGCAAAGTCATAGCTTTGCTTTATACAAACTAGCGACCCGCCCCAGCTTTGCACGGGTGTAATATGCGTGTGTTATACATACAAACCTTCCTTAACAATCACTCTACCTATTAAATAAAACCGCATCAAAATCCGTTGCGTACTTTTAAAGATCTAAGCATACATAGGAACAAATAGACGGCGGATAGCGACTTTGTTTTACACTATGTAGTGATAAAATTATAATGGGTAATACGTATCTATCGTCAAATTTGGATGACCCTATCACATTGTGTGTTATTGATAAGAATTTGGAATATACTATATTAAAATAAAAATATATTTTAACACATAAAATTGATCATTTTATCTTATCTATCACAATTTTGGCTCTGTCATCTTCCGTACGATTTAATTATTCATTTATTTATTACTGGGAAGCTATTTATATATATATTATGGCTAGCTTATTTGCAGATTAAATCTTCAATAAATGAGTTGAGTGTACCATTTCTTGTCAACAATCTCAAAATGTTAATAGGTTACGAGAATAAATCGATAAATATCCACTAAAGTTGATTGAATCTATACAAATATAGTAAAGATGGAAGAATTTAATGACTGTATGTTTGCATTGAATAGGCTCCTAAACTGCTGGACCAATTTTAATAACTTTAAAACTTACTTTTCAGGGAGAAACTGTGAACAGTTTATTTTAGTTAACTTTTAGCGTAGTACAGGTTACGTTTAAACCTATATTCTTACAAGATAGAGACCTATATAGGTGAAATATTCTATATTCTACGCGAGTGTAGCCGCAGGCGTAAAGCTAGTTTATTATCATGCGATGCAGGTGAATGATATTAGCCCATTACTGATATAAGATCATTAAAATAAGTAAATATTTTGAAAATACTGCAAACATGAGTCAACGACTGACTGTTGATCTAGGTACGTAGTGGATACCTACATATTTAAGAAGGTAGGTATGTAAACAGGTTAATTAAGAGCTTAAGACGATTGTAAAATTATATTCATGTTAATTAGGTATTTAGATTTTATCAAGACAATGACTTCTTAGAGAAGTGCAGAAGACGCCTAGTTACCAGTTTTATTACCTAAAACTGACATTACAAGCAAATATAATAATTTAAAAACTATTTACATTACGTCTTGAATACATGCTCACGTATCATGAACTAAAAATAAATTTAATAACGAAGAAGTTCTTTTTGATCGAGAATCTCACCATTTACTCTGTTCTAATACAACAGTACCTATGGTAGAAGAATGCTAAGGATGATGCTTAACTTTGAGGCACCCTGACTATCAGATCTTAGTGGTGTTTCAACTTTTCCAATTCTCAAAAAAGTCAAAAGTCAAAAATCATTTATTTCAATTAGACCAGGAAGGCACTTTTGAACGTCAGCAATAGAAATTTAAAAATGAAGCTATTTGCTCATTCCAAGGTGTAGATTCCTATGGAGAAGAACGAGCAAGAAACTCCATAGGTTACTCTTTTCCAATCAGTTTCATTCTATAACTTGGCATTCAAAATATTTATTGGTGTTTAATACTAACCATGAAAACGGCGAACACAACGCCGAGGGAGTACCCAGCGAGCACGTCACTCCAGTGGTGTTTGAAGTCAGTGACCCTCGAGAGCGCGGTGAACCAGCTCAGCATCACGACTCCAAACTGAAGGACGTGGCGGAGCGTCCTTGTACCCTGCCATGTCATCCGGCCTTCTAAGTACATCTGGAAAGAGATGGAGATACATTAGATGTAGTTCTTTAGAAGAAGGAAATAGAGTCTTTATTACTGTGTCAGAAGATATTGATATTGAGGTTTGTTGCAGTGTCCGGTTAACATCGTTCTTAGATATAGATGCATTATGACAGGTCTGTGTATATTGTATAATGGATGTAGTTAAATATCAGGGCTGTATCAGTGATTATTTTGAATAAAAAAAAATTGTAAAAAATCTGACATATGTTTGATTATTCATCGATTTTTTCAACGCCAGATAAACTTTAACTGAAGGATAACTTTGAATATTTGACAATTCTTCCATACCACAGAACATATGTTCTATGTTCCATACTATTGTCTGTCAAATGACATTTTTATTTTACACTTAAGAATTAAGTGATGTTTGAAAAATCAACCCAAAACTGCTGTTAATTTTATTAAAAACCGAGTGTTCTATATTCAATTTCCAATAATATATTGGATGATTTAGTTTTAATTAATTTTAAGTTGTATATTTTTATTCATAATTGTGTTATTTAAGTTTTTATCTATATTAAATATAATATTACTTATCTATAATGAAGCCCAATACTCACAGCTAAATAAACCATAGTGTAAGCTGCCCACGCGGAGTGGCCACTCAAGAAACTCTTGCGCATATCCCCGTACTTATCAGTCTGTGGTCCCGTACACGTGTAGTCTGAGGACTGGATGTACCGGTCCTGCCATTCTAAGGAACTGCAGTTTATTGACGGTTGACAGATCTGGAAAAAAGAAAGAGACTTAATTAACAAAAAGGCTTTGTAAAAATGTTTGCTCTGAAATTGGTTACAAGTCAAATAACTTTCAAGAGACATACATTAAGAATGTAATAAAACTAAACTAATCTATACATTTATATAAACTTAATAATAAATAACTAGGGCGATAATAAATGAAAATTAAAGTATTTACAACTACAATTACCATAAAAATGTACAAAAATAGTATAAAAGAAAAAAAGAAATAAAAACTAAGGTGTTTTATAAGTAAATAAAGTTAGGAATCTTGTGAAATGTTGACCAATTGAGATAACATAATGTCCATCATAATCTTATGCTTGATATACAACCGTTTATAAAATCATTAACAGTATTTTTTTAAATTCAGAGATATCAAAAATTGTCCTAACTCGATATTTGTCCCATAATCTCGTGCAGTCACATCATCGCTACGCACATCGTTACTAAAATGAATGATGTAATTACTATAAAATACGTAATGAATTAGATAAACCTTAATAATAATTAATCAAACCTAAACGTAGTAAATAAAGATTTACGATAACATAAATAAGGAAATTACTATGTACGTCATTTTATGTCAATACATATAATCCGGGAAACAAGTTCACATAACATAATATTACGTATTTTATTCCCGTTTTGTTACATTGGTGCATATAGTGAATGTAACAGTTATTTTTCACTAGTTATGTATACAAATAAGTATAATTTGTTACGGATGAATGTATTTTATCAACTATTTTTAAACATTAAACTACAAATCTACAAAAAACTACAAATAAACCAAAAATTGTGTTGGACCCAGAATAGAACCTTGAAGAACACCCAGTTTTTAACTGACTTCTGCTACTTATAAATATGTGCTAAAATTATTATCATAAGCTAAAAACTGAAATGGACCCAAAATTGAACCTTGAGGAACGCCCATTTTTTACCGGCCTTAGATTGTGCTAGTTACACACGTAATGCAGGAAACACATTTATTGTATTGATAAGGACAATGTTGCTACACTAAAACGTCTCATTTATCTAACATTAGATACTATAAGTACTTAATAATTAATCTTCTAATTATTATAGTAGTAGTAAATGATACTGTTTGTTCCATATACTAATATCTGGCACTTCAGAAGACACCTTGAAAGTAAGTACCTACTTTATATGTATTGAACACATCTAATACTCTAGAAAGACTAGACGCAAGGTCAAGGCATAAACTACATTTTGAAAAAATACTTCAAAATAGTGAGAAAAGAACTATTCATCATCAAAGTGAACACATAATAATAAGTTATCCATTATTCTACTGTATTTGAAAGTGGTATTACGGCTATGCGCCTTAATTGGAAGAAAAAATATTGAAATTGCGCAGGCGTTTTAAAGTTCCTGCTGGTGTCATAATTTCTGAGTAAGTATATGTAATTGCTATTTAAATCCAGAGACCTTTGAAACTGGAAACCATTAAAGAAAGCCAGGAAATAAACAAAATATTCAATCAATCTTACATCAAAGAAATGAGGTCTAGGTCTGCCAATGACATTTTTGGAGATGTTGACAGCGATCTCGACGAAGCAGGTTCCGATGGCGAAGCAGACGAGCGTGCTGTAGAAGCCACGCACCCAGGCAGGGATGCGCACGCCTAGACACCGCTCACAGTCGCGCACGTTGCGTAGAAGTGTCCACTCGCATATTAGGAACTGAGGACAAAAAATTATAAGCATTATTTTCAGTAATTTGGGCACCTGAAGATAATTAAATAATGGTGGGTAGCGCTTAAGATCTTCAGACAAGAATCCATTAAGCAGACATGACCTTCAGTGATGAAGAAATGATAAAACAGAAGGCATTTTTAAAAATATTAAAATGAGATCATCTGTAAGTGCGAGCACTTCCAAATCGTAGATTCTTATAGATCTCAATACCATTTTACTGATTGAATTTAATACTAACAATGTAATGGAAATCGCTGCTACCATGTAAAATGCAATCACCCATTCAATAATTGAAAAACGTTTAACTTTATAAAGTCGTAACTTATCAATTATTACCTCTAAGAACCGACACATCTTATCAAATATCTAACGTCGCTTCAATAAACTTGCAATTACGGTAACCAATTAACCGAACCAGTTACTAAATACAGTTTAAAAATAAACAATTGGGTACTTGCCGACTAGTCAAATTCAATACTTTTTTCCATCTGTCAAAAACGACAGTTTTCTATGAATTTTGTACGAGATTGTGTTTTGTGACGTCACGTTTTTTTACCGTCATACAGTATACTTATTTCTTAAAAAAATACTTGAAAAATACTAAAACAAAGTTAGTCATAAAATCAATGAACGAAAGTGTAATTATTTTTTAATATTTCATTGTATTGAACAGTCCAAATAATTTATTTTTGATTACGGAATGTAGCCAATTACACTTTGACCGACCTATAAGTACTACTAGAATACTACTGATGTCAAATGACCACATGTCATAGATAAAAATAATTACAAGAACGATCATTTTGCTTTCCATTATTGAATCTACTTGTAATGGAAAAGTCGACAACGCCATTCATTTTAGGCTAACAATAGGTAATTATGAGTGCAATTTTGATTACAGGTTGGCTTAACGCACGTGTTAAGGTGCGAAGCGAACGTATGTATTGTGACGTCAGCGTATAGATTGATCATCGGTGATTGAAATGACGTGTAGTAAGTAGCTGAAGAAAATCTTGCAGTTTCTTTACCTGACATACAATTGTAACTATAATTGATGGATGAATGGCTATTTCCTATACGTATTTGTACGTTTGTTTACCTTTTTATTATTTTGAAGAGGATTTCATTAGGTTTTTGTTCGGTAATTTTCATTGATTATAGAACGGATCGAGGAATTTTAAATCATAAAATTTATAACACAAATATTAATTTTCAGTAACAATGTTACGTGCCTGATATTTCTATCGGGACGAAATATTAAATGGAAGGCATAAAATGTACACATCAAGTACTTAAGAATAAAAGAGTCAGGTTGATTGAAATTAGACTTTAGTTACATTTCTTTGTAGGTTCATAATGCAATGATTGCAATTGAAACCTTGGTATTGGGGTGATTAAAATTGGACTTTAGTACTATTTCATTGTAGGTTCATAATGAAATGATTAACCAATTGAAACCTTGGTATTTTCCATGAGTTAAACCATCAATAGTGCGTATTATCGTGATGTACGGCCGGTAATGGAATAAGTGCAGTTCACAGCCGGCCACTGCATTCAATACCAACGGAAGACACACAGACGTAGAATTGAGACAATTACTGGATGTGCCACTATGATAATACGGATGTACAGAGAAAACAGCTGACTAGATATAAGTAGGTAGTTTTAGAAAGAAAAAAATACGAAATCTGTGTGTGTGTGGTTTAAAGTGAATCATATGAAGTTAAAGTCAATGCAGTAAATTATAAGTTTATAATCATTACTTAAATTTAAAAATGAATGGAAGATTAAGGTAAAGGCATCAATACAATCTCTTTGATGCAAATGATCTATAGAAAATAGTATTGTGTTGTAGTGTAAATAGATGTTTTTTTTAAACGTTGCCCCACACTAGTGTTTTCTCCTGTGTGGGTGCGTTTACAAACATACAAGTACACATACACATGACACCCAGACCCGTAACAACAATCTGTGGATCACACAAAGAGTTGTTCTGTGCGGGAATCGAACCAGCCCAGCGTCAACCATGCAATTAAACTTATTAATTAATAAGATGTGCAAAATTATTACTAGTATACGCCACCGGACGTAATATTTGTTAGTCATTTCTTTTTCATTGGAATTATTTTATCACAACAAAGTATGTACAAGATAATCTCTTATCTCATATATTTTTATAGTAGGTAACACACAGACATCGACAGACGTAATTATCTATAGATATGCATTTTTATGTGATCCGGAAAAATATGTAAAAAAGTATTTGTTTTCTCGATAAAAATTAGTTCGATCGTTAGGGCGAAAACACGAGGGTAGCCTACAGGACATGAGGGAGACTACCTAACTACTGAACTAAATGGAGACTAGCCGATTCATGTGGCGAGCTTAGAAGAAGACGAAGTAAAGAAAAATAATTTAGCAGTAGACGTCTTCCAGGTAATGATTATGAATTAAACAAGTTAAAGAAGTATATAATACTATGAACATTATAGACTACCTAGACCTTATAGAGGTCGCGGAGAACCTAACGGGTAACCGGGGCTCCCGCTCGACGTGCAGGAGAAGGAACGGGGTGGTTTTTAGTCAGTAAGAGTCTGACACTCCCTCCCGCCTCACCCAGGCGGAAGCAGTCATTCGATGATTTTACCCCCTTAAAAACAAAAAAAAGACCTTATAGAGAGCAGAACAGATAGACGAACAGGCCTAGGAAACGAATCCCAAAAAACTATGTAGGTTAACTTGTAACTTCCCAACACTATTAATTACAATTAGTTAAGAATCTAATTAGTAATAGTAGTAGTAATTAATTAATAGCAACGTGATATTTTATCACTGTTGCGGTCACATGAAGTAGTTCGTGGTCTATATCATCGCATGCGCATGCATCCGAGTCGTTACTAGTTTTGGAAATTTGGTCAAATTACGAACATTAAATCATGACCGTGATCAAGTTCGTGTTGATTACAAATTTTGATTTCACCCCTTCAAAATTAAAAAAATATGGGCTCTCCTTCGTATGAGAGGACAAGATTGATAATATTGAGTTAAACCCAATTCTTCGATCCCGTATCGGACCTATGAATGGAGATTTGCCAATAGGGTAGATGCCTAATTTTTATTTTAATGTCCGTCTGGTAGATTATCTTAAATCATTAGACATATATTTTTTATTCTCTTACAGAGACGAATACTTTCGACGGTATATTGATTTGAAATGTTGCGTGACGTCACTTCTATGTATGTACATTTTAAACGTAGAAATGACGTTTTAGCCCCCACTCCTAAACTTTGATTCGTTTTATCTACCTCTAAGTATTGTTTTATTATACGACAAAATAAAAAAATACGTGTCTAATATTTTTTAATTATCTAATAATTAGATTTTTAATTTTCATACCCTGTCATCATCCCAATTACGGCCAGTTAGCTAGTAATAGATTTTCAAAATTCTATCAAGCAAATCTATAGGTAGGTTTTTGAGATTGACATGATTTTTGTCTCCAATAACAAAGTTCTTTATATTTTCATCTCCTCTCGTAGTTTATACGACTATTACATCATCCAACCCCTTTTGGAAAACTAGTTTTTAAATAAACGCCTAATTTGATTTAAATTTAAATATTTTTTACAAGAATCGAAGGTTGAACACTTGTCTTGATAAATGGCTAAAAATCTAGAGAATGTGCCTGTTTAAATAATTCGCAATTTTGTTTAAAAATACCTGAGCGGATGTTTTTTTTAATCGTAACATTACTGGTTCGATACCATAATATTTATATTAATATTATAAGAGAAAGTTCTGATGTTTGTTACTTAATCACATAATCTACAGATCTGGATGAAAATTATTAACACTAGCTAGTGACAGCGGCTTCGCACGCGTCTGTTAAGCATACAAATCTTCCTCTTGAAACACAATCTATTAAAGAAATCACATCAAAATCCGATGCGCACTTTTGAAGACCTAAGACCAAAGAGACCGATAGTGAAAAGCAGCTTAAGTCGAAATACTCGAACACTAATCAAGCCGCGCTTAAGTATAGTTTTGTCTCTGTAAATTCTTTGTAAAATGACAGAGATAGCACGATATTTAAGTGCAACTTATAATAACTTATAGTAGCCTTTAAGTATTCGGGCATTAGTATTAAAACATATAGTATGTTTTAATAATTTATGTTATGAGTCCCATGTAATAGGGGGTGAGCCTATTGCCATATACCGGACACAATTCCAGACTCCGTGCTACTACTGAGAATATTTAAAAAATATTATACTGTACTATGTTGTAAATAAATAGGTACACTCACCGTTGATATAGGTAGCAGAAGACCAACTAGTCTCAACATGAGTACTGTGACAGTGTCTCCCTTGTAGGGGTACATCAGGCTCTGGTCTCCACAGAAGAACCCTCGTTGGAAAGGCTGCCAGAGCAGATTTGTTGCTCCTATACATAGCCCCACTGAAACAAGTAAAATTAATTATTGTAAAGACGTTTGTCGTGGTGGCCCGTAGGTTTAAGACGCCTGCTACTCATGCATCAGGGTGCAGGTTGAAACCTACCAACGGCAAGTGCCAATGTGACTTTTTTCAAGTTATATGTACTCTCTAAAATTATCTAGAGACCACTGACAAAAGGTGAAGGGAAACATCGTAAAAAACCTAGGCTTATACTAATTGTAAGTTTGAAATTGTCAACCCGCATTGAGTAAGCATGGTTAATGCTCAAACCTTCTCCGTGCGAGAAGAAGCCTTTGGTCAGAACTGGTTACTTATAGGCTGTCATTGATAAATTAGATAAATAAGGATATGACCGAAAACATAAAATAATACATACTTTTATTCTTTGAAAGTCTAAAGACAAGAATATTTTTCACACTTAATTGTCCCCAGTTATAATTATGACTGCCATTAACGATATCTTCATTATGAAGTTACGAACAACTTATTGTAATGAAGGCGTAAAAACTTACAAAGTAACTGATACATATTGCTTTTAATAGGTTGCGAACTTATACCATTCATAGATCGCAAATACAATTTATTATTAGCCTACTAAACTTAGGGGTTATGGTAAACTCCGTTTGAAAAAGGATGCTGTTGTTCAGCAGTAGATGTATTTGGCTGATGTTGAAAGTAGTATGCTATGTCAGAAATTGAAAACAGTATTTTCTTCTATCCATTTTACCGGAGGCCCAATTTCCCCAATGCTTGAATCCCCAACAATCCTCAAATTCCTAATCCCCAAAAGGCCGGTAACGCACTTGTAACGCCTCTGGTGTTCCAGGTGTCTATGGGCGACGTAGATTGTTTACCATCAGATAATCCGTCTGCACGTTTACCGGCTAACCACATAAAAAATTAACAAATGAACCGACAAAAAGCCTATATCATACAAGTAAGGTGACGTAACTAGAGAATAAAAAACTTCGCGAATATATAATGTCAAATATATAAAAAACACGATATGCGGAATGTATGTATGGACTATACATATTTAAGAATCTCATACGAGTTTTATAGCAAACACAAACGAGTTTCTAAGATTGGTGGCCAAGCCTCCATTTTTTGTTTTAAACACACAAGGAAAATTATATCTTAAAATATTGTCATCAATAAATCGACAATTGTTTTGCTAAGGTTAAGAAGTTTAGTATGTGCGAGACATAATAATTATAACATTGATATTGAACACACGTTGAATGATGGAAAGGGAAAGGACGACCAAAGAAAAGATGATATAGATTGTGTGAACAATCATATAAAAGAGAAACAATGTATCATACAGAATGATATCTGAGACTAGAAGAAAGGTGTTATGAGTCGACTCCAAGTAGCTTTGAATAAGAAAAATAGCTGTAATGTTGAAAGAGGAAGCCAACATGGTCGATCGAATGAAGACCTAAAGGGGTTAGATCTAGGGGTCATTCTCGAAAAACCCATTTGACCGCTTGATTAACAAGGCAGACAAAGGATTGAAAATCAAAATGGTCCTTTAGAATTTCTAGTCCCATCCACGATTAAATACAGCCCACAAACATTCACTAATATAATAGCGTTCGTAACGATATGTTATTTAAAGTCACGCTAGTTGAGTGAGAAAATTACTGTAATCAAAGCGACCAGAAACCATTAACAACCGTTTACAATCGCTCGGATGGCTTCTAAACGAGTTAAAAACTATATTATCGGAAATAGACGTTTGTCACTCGACAATAATGTTGTGTTAGTATATTACCACGCCTGATTTAATTTTTTTTAGGCTAAGGTAATTAGGTACACAGAAAAGTAAGATAATTTGGTACACATATATTAGAAGTTAGAAGTAACTGTTAGAACGAGTCGCACAAAATTAGTCTTTTCTTGCTATGTGAATCTAATTCAGCTATTAAAAGTAATAGCTACTACAAAAGAAATGTTACAAGAGTATATTGTCTATTATGATATCTCATATTGAAATTAAAAAAAAAAGTATACACTTACAGCCAATAAGAAGGAAGCAGTCTAGGACTAGTTTCCTTAGAATATTTATAGACACTTCGTTCTTAGCCATGACGTCTCCTTTTCTCTCCAACCACGATTGTTTTATACTTCGTCTTGATCTCTTCAAAACTATCCGGATATAATTTACTATCCGAATTTAATTCGCGGATTTTTTATTTTATTTTTATCGCGTATGAGCACGCGGTTTTCTCGTGCGCTGTCAGAGCGTCAGTACGGTTCAGCAGCGATACTACGTCTACACTGGTGTATTTGACCGGCCGATACGCCTTAAATACGACTTCATTATCAACTTCTGCGCCGATAGCGTTGCAAGATAAATGTAATTGTGTAAAAATAGATATTAGGGAAGTTACTGTTTAGGGAAGGGTCTTAGGTTTAAGCGTTTGGTTTTTTGCTCTTTTGGTGATCCAAAAGTCATCAGCGGATTTTTATAAATCTGTAGATAAAATTCTGGTATTGAATGTGAGTTTGCACCCTGTTTATGACATACATTATATACCCATTTATATAAGTCGTAATCCACGAGCCCTATTATACTCAGTCAAAATGTATGTAAAATTTTAGAATGAATTATTTTAGAAGTTTCTATCACCTTAACGAATGCTAGAGTGAACGTGGGTACCGTCATTAAAAAGGCTTTATATAATGTAATATTTCATCTTCTATACGTTATGCGTGTCGCGGAGAACCTAACGGGTAACCGGGGCTCCGGTTCGACGTGCAAGAGTAGGAACGGGGTGGTTTTTAGTCAGTAAGAGTCTGACACTCCCTCCTGCCTTACCCGGGCGGGAGTAGCCATTCGATGATTTTTCCCCCCTTAAAAAATACGATAGGCGTCCTCGGCTGAACATTGGTATCCTCTATTATTGATCCCTCGATCGTCTCTCAATGCTACTACAGTACTTATAATTAATTCAATTATTCTTACTGACATTGTTTTTCTTCTTCAAGTTTTCCTTGTAATACTTTGTCTTTGTAGCTGCAAACTCTTCATCTAATATTCAAAATGGATTTGCCCTACAAACGCCTTTGGATTATTCTATTTTATTTTTAAGAGGAATGTAATATTTTTGTAAATTATGTATTTTATTATGTATTTTTTTATTACCTATTGTAATATTCTTTGCAGTAACACACAGCCAATGAGGCATTTTTACAAATTATCATACGTATAATGTACGCTATTTTTAAGGTGCACGTAGTGATAAGTCACTACGTGTGTGAAAAGTGAGTGTCTCCTACATGAAAAGACTCTCCTACATGAAAAGTCTTCTATGTATACAGATACGTATGTACAACAACATAGAGTCATGCGTCGGTACAAAACGGCCATCTCGACTGGAGTGATACCATGACCTCACAAAAACCGGAGTAAAACAACGCTTGCGTTGTGTTGCGCCCCCTGAGTGAGGATGTACCAGAGGCTCAATTCTCCTCCCCCAAAAGACCGATAATGCAGTTGAAGCTCTTTTGGTGCTGCGGGTCACTGCAGATGTTCATCGACGGTGTGCTGATTACGGACCATTAGAATGATGATTCATCTGCTCGTTCGTTGCCCTATCCCATTAAAAAGGTCTGTCATAACAATTGTTGCAAAACCGTACAACAATTATTGGTTAATATTAATTGTATGTCATGGTGGCCTGGAGGTTTAAGACACCCGCTTCTCATGCTCTTACTGACTAAAAACCATCCCGTTCCTTCTCCTGCACGTCGAGCCGGATCCCCGGTTACCCGTTAGGTTCTCCGCCACACGCCTAACTTATAGAAGATGAAATATTACATTATATAAAGCCTTTATGAGGGTGCGGGTTCGCAACCTACCAACGGCAAGTACCAACGTGATTTTTTCCGAGTTAAATGCATTTTCTAAGAATACCTAGACACCACTGACAAATGGTGAAGGAAAACATCCTGAGGAAAACTAGGCTTATTATTCCTAATTATAAGTTTGTAATCGCCAACCCACATTGAGCAAGCGTGGTGATTAATGCTCAAACCTTCTCCGTATGAGAAGAGGCTTTGCTTAGTAGTAGGCATTTATAGGCAATGAGAACAAAATGACAATATTAATTTCATAATTGCATATTATGCTATTTTTTTTGTTTAAATTTATCGTCTCTAATCCAATGGAAATACAACCATCCTGTTACGTTTTGTATTTACTTATGTCCAAGTTTATCACAAACAAGATGCTGTGAAAACATCTGGATAAACATTGAGATAGTGCTGAACTTCCTACGTCATTTACTTAGGCACTATTTACTATATCATGTCAGATAACAAATATACAAAATAAAATAACGTAATGTATTTTAATTATTGTTTTACTTGGATAAGTATAACAATGTAAATCGTAAGTTGACTGTTATTTTTGTGAATGTTTATCTTGTGTAAATATGAATAAAAATGGAACGCCGAAATGTACGCACAGCTTTCAAATGAGTGCACCTTTAATTTCTTTATATTTCGTAATTTTTGGAACAAGGAGTGAGAAAAAAAGAGCCGAAAATATAAAAAATATACCGGGAAAGTCAGTGAATTGCGTTGCAATGAGGGGGACGGGCTGTAAAAAGAATATAATATAATTGGTGCCTGGCTGTTGTTACCGCGGGATTTGTTTTGCGAGGAAATTCTATCTTATAAATATTCTATTGACTGCCACATTGGCCGAGTGGTCGTAAATTCGACTGCTAGACAAGGGGTCTCGGGTTCGATTCCCAGGTCTGGCAAAGTATTACTGGGTTTTCTAAAAACAACTCAGTAGTAGCACCCTATTACATGGGATTCATAACATAAATAGTGTAAACTGGGTGTTTCATGTTACGGTGGCGTAATGTATACCTCTGCCAACCCCTTCGGGGATTGAAGGCGTGATGTTATGTTATGTTATCTACATCAATAGTAGATTGTGGTGAGATTGTGCTTTGAGACTACAATCATTCTTTGTATCAAATAAAATGTTTGTAACTCACACAGGCTTTTTTTTAAGGGGGTAAAATCATCGAATGACTGCTCCCGCCTGGGTGAGGCGGGAGGGAGTGTCAGACTCTTACTGACTAAAAACCACCCCGTTCCTTCTCCTGCACGTCGAGCCGGAGCCCCGGTAACCCGTTAGGTTCTCCGCGACAATTCACACAGGCTAAGTAGTAGGCAGAAAATAAGTGTGTTTATTTTTCATTACATTTTTTTATGATACGTTTATATGATTTAAATGTTAGTTAAGTAATTTATTTATTTAAAGAAACAGGTGCCTAAAAGAAGATAGCAAATCTGTATTTGGGGATACCAAGAATTAACTCTTTACATAGTTATTAACCTGGATAAATTTACATAGAGATATGTATATTGTAATTTATAATTTGTGCAAATAAAATAAAGTTGCGTAATATGTAGTTGCACTTACAATTTTTATTGCAGCAATGTATATAGGGGGAAACACGCGATGAAGTAGTTGTATTTACAATTTTCTTGTTTGTAGAGTTGCAATCATTTTTCTCGTAACTTGTAATGAAGTTTTTAATCTTTTATATTTCCTTTAATTCTCCTGGTAGACAGATATGCATCAAAGTATAGCTATGTTTTATGTAGATTATGCAATTTTACCATTTATATTATGTCCTAAAAAATCTTCCTTTTAGAACTAATAATTTCTTTTATTAACTATGTGAAGCAAGAAATAAAGAGGCTTTTTTATTATTATTTTTTTATTTATTTATTATTATAAGTCCTAAATATATGTACATATAATAGGCCAAATAGCGGACACAATACTAGACTTTCTACTATTTACTGTGAAATATTCGAACTACGTTTAAAAATACCGACTCCATCCTTTACGAACCGACTTGGTATATATACGTGTACATACATACGTGTCAAAACCAGAACCTACTTCTTTTTTTAAGTCGGTTAAAAACTGAAAACACCCCGTAGACATCATACTTTGCCAAATCCAGTTTATTAATCTTGAGTCCCGATGGATCTTATTATTATCTCCGTTTAAAAAAATCAAAAGATTACAATTTGCTAACTGGAATAGATAGTAAACCAGGTTGTATTATTTACTCACCATGTTATAGTCGCGTGGGGCTGGCAGATAACCAACTAAAAGATGATAACTGTTAACCTTTGTCTTAATCTTAATAGTTAGAGATTAGGTGTTTTTGTATTTTTCAAAAATATCTCAGTAATTTCTTTTGAATTAAAGATATACTTGTTAGTCAGGGTTAGTTCGCTTGTCAGATGCTATTGTGGAGTTCACTACACATTAGTGGATTAATTTAATATCTTATTATACGGATATTGATATATATAATGGATTAATCTATATATATATAAAATGAAACCCGTTTCCCGTTGTCACGCCATAACCTGTGAACGGATCGACCTCGTCATGATAAGGTTCTTATGACAGAAAAAGTCCTGAAAATCCTACAAGCATGGGAGAAACGGTATTACGAAGTCGCGGGCAGAAGGTAGTTTGTAATAATTGATTAACTTAAAGTCTGGATACTTGAATCCACAATTAATACATTAAACTACATAACTGATAAAAACTGGCATCGGTAAAACTGTCCATTTCGTGCCATGTTATGCTATACCATGCTATGCTATGCCATGCTATGCTATGCCATGCTATGCTATGCCATGCTATGCTATGTCATGCTATGCTATGCCATGCTATGCTATGCCATGCTATGCTATGCCATGCTATGCTATGCCATGCTATGCTATGCCATGCTATGCTATGCCATGCTATGCTATGCCATGCTATGCTATGCCATGCTATGCTATGCCATGCTATGCTATGCCATGCTATGCTATGTCATGCTATGCTATGCCATGCTATGCTATGCCATGCTATGCAATGATATGTCATGCCATGTCAAGCTATGCAATAATATTTTATGCCAATGTGCGTTTTTATAAAATATATACTTATACAAATTCACATGCTACGATCAATACGTCATCTAGCAGAGCCGGTCAAATCGCGCGGTAGTAGCTAGTTTAATCCTAAAATACTTAAAACAACTGTATTATCTA